TGGGGACACTCACCTGATGGAGGAGCCGTTAGTGACACAAACTTCTCTCGTCTTTGGAGCAGAGTTCAGAAGCGAGTTCGGCCGCCTGCGGAGAGACGGGACACGGCTTAGGGTCACCCCGGCGGCGGGTGGTCCCCATTCCTCCCCCTTCCCCATCGCGCCAGGACCCCCCCAACACACCCGGGACCTGCATCACCCCCATCCCAACATATCCACCCCCCCAGCCCAAACCCAGCCCTTACCTTAAGGGAGAACAGGGTGGCCTCGGAGGAGGGGTCGCGGCCCTTGGCCCCTTCCTCCAGCACGATCTGGAGGTCGAAGATGTAGTCGATGACGTGCTGCAGGATCTCCACCTGGCTCACCTTGGTGCCTTGCGGGATGCCCGGCACCAGCTCCCGCAACTTGGAATAGCAGTCGTTCATATCGTACAGCAAGTTCATGGGCTCTTCCAAGGCCGGGCTCTTGTTGTGGCTGCCCCGGGCGATGGCAAAACTCTGCTCCGACAGGCAGCAAACGGCCTCGTAGCAGCTCCGCACGGAGCGCACCGGGCTGATGGCTTTCATGGTGGGCTCAAAAGCTGGGCTGGGGGCGCAGGACGGGGGGGGTTGCCTGGGGGTTGTCTCGGCGGCTGTGGCTCTGCTGGGACCTCCGAGCACCGGGACCACCAAAGCCTGGAGCTCTGAGCGCCGGGATTGTCACCCTTTGGACCCTGAGACGTTCAGAGCTCGCTGGCGGACTGGGAAGGGGGTGGTTCCGCGCCGCCCTTTATATAGACAGCGAGGCTCGGTCACACCCCCTGCATTCAAATTGACTCAAATCCCACCCCCTTCTATGTAAAATAACAATTAATCCACCCCTTTTAATGTAAACTAAGCTCTAAACCCCGCCCCTGTATCTCAATGAAGTCTTAACCCCCCTCTATTTCCCCCCCACCGCCCCCCAAAATCGACCCTTGGTGGCCGGAGTGGCCCCACGGGGGGTGACACGACCACGCAGGCCCCCCACCCCATAGCCAGACCCCCAAATCCACTCTCTTCGCGGGGGGATTCCCCCCTAAACCCCTCGGACACCCCAACCCCAGCCCCCCCAACTGTCCCCCTCCCCATGGCAGTGAATCCCCCCTATTTTTAGGCAGGACGATGGGGGTTCCCCCCCCTCCAACCTCCCAGTTTTAAGGAAATTAGTGCCGCCCTGTTCCTCAATCCGCTTCTCATCTGACCTCCAGACTTTCTGGCGTCAGGAATTATCTTGTGACCAGCAGAAAAAAATTAATTGCGGTAAAACTGAGGTTACGATGGAGAAACCAGATTTAGGTCAGCGCCTGCGAGAGGCCTGGAGGGTTCTTTTATTTTGGAGGGGGGGAAAGAGGAGATTTATAGGCGAGGGGGTTATTCCAGTAGAACTGAGGAGGGGGGGATGAAGGAAACCCCCCTTCCCAAACCATCGCTGCCTCAAAACTTACAGAATCCGAGAATATCCGTGGAAAAAGCCCAGAGCTGGAGCGGTGCGGGGTCCCCACGGGTGTCAGCACAGCGGGTGGCACATGGAGGGGTCCCGGGGGTGGGGGGTGACAGCCCCCAGCACCCAGATTGTGAATTCTTATGAGCCCAAGGGGTAACCCCCCCCCTTCCCAGATACCGATTTCCACGGGCAGCATTTATGGGGGATGTCCTGAGGGTTTGGTTAGGGAAGTGCAGGAAGGGGATGTTACCCAGAGGGTGGGGGGGACACCCTGGGACCCTGCTCGGCCCGGGGGTCCCAGCTAATGAGGGGTGCAGGGGGGGTGGGGGGCAGAGGCACCTGGACCAAATTACTCCTGCCCACAGCAGCAATTTATTCCAGATCTGCCCAAATCCCAGTTCGGTGGTGCTGGGGTTTATTTCCCTCCTTTCCACCCCCTCCCCAAAAGGGGTCTGGAGGCCGCGGGCTGGGGGGCACCCACCCTCCCTGAGTCTCCCCCAGTCCATGAGTCTTTCAACAGCCC